TGCTTAGAATGGCTCAAAAAATTGTTGTCTTGATGACTATACTAAATGTTTTATGATAGCCAATACTTAGACGTTAAAAAAAACCTTTGGTCAAAAGATTGGCCTCATAATGATTGATAGATCCATATGAATCACATTTGATTCGAAACACCCATTTGCAACCAAATCAAATCAAATTTTGAGAAGGATGAGGAACAAGAGTCCAAGTATTTTTCGTATGAGTGCATTGAATTCCTCAAGCATAGCAGGGCGTAGGGGTGTAAATGAGTCAAGTCAAGCTCGAGTCATTCTTGATTTGAGCTTGAGCTAAATTAATTAATTGAGTTTTAGCTTAGTTTAATGCATTCGAGTCAACTCAATGTTGAAACTCAAGATCGAGTTCAAGGGAGATGACGGTAGACGCAAGCAAGAACACAGATATCGGAAGAATATTTTATTAATCTAATCTATTTGTTTGTACAGTGCATCTATTTATAGAAAGTAAATGCTAGCTACAGGTAATGTAATACATAAGGTCACACAATGTAATTCTTAATTAATATGTGGTTTCTCTAATAGCCCCCCACAAACTGAGGGATCTTGGATAACTTTCAGTTTGGATCTGAGCTCATGAAACCGTGGTGTGGACAAAGCTTTGGTCAATATGTCGGCTAATTGATCCTTTGTGCTGATTGGAAGAATACGGACATTGCCTTGCTGAATATGATCTCGAACAAATCTATGATCGATTTCGATATGTTTTGTTCGTGCATGGAAGACCGGATTGTTTGCCAATGCTATTGCTGAAGTGTTGTCACAATATAAATCCGTAGGTTTGTCTTGAGTAATTCCGAAATCTGCTAGAATGCGCCGTATCCAAATAACGTCGGTAGTGAGTGCTGCTAGCGAACGGTACTCGGATTCTGTGGAGGAGCGGGCAACTGTTGTCTGCTTTTTGACGGTCCAAGATATTAACGTATCGCCAAGGTAGGAGCAGAATCCTGATGTCAACTTCCGGGAGAGTGGATCTCCAGCCCAGTCTGCATCAGAATAAGCCGATAACCGTAAGTTAGATCTTAGAATTGGAATGCCATAATTGAGCGTACCTTGAATATAACGAAGCAGTCGTTTGAGGAGGTAGATGTGAGTCGACTGCGGTTGATGCATATGTTGAGACAATAGATTGACACTGAATGAGATATCCGGTCGCGTTAGTGTCAGGTATTGGAGCGAGCCAGTTAGCCGTCGGTACATGGCTGGATCAGCCAGCACGGGATCATGCGGAAGCAGTTGTGGTAGTTTGGTACATGTGGGATTCGCAAGCTGCTTACAGTTGTTAAGCTGAGACAGTTTCAGAATTGATTGAGCATAAAGTTTTTGTGTGAGAAAATAACTGTCCCTTCGTCTAGTTATTGTAATACCAAGAAAGGAATTGACTTGCCCCAGAATTTTCATGCGAAATTTGTGTTGAAGCTTAGTGATTATAGTGCTAATAGCAGCTGTGTCGTTGCCAGTGAACAGAATATCGTCCACGTAAATGAGTAAAAACAATTTTATGTTGTCTTTATTGAATAACAGTAAAGATGGATCAGATGAACTATGCGAAAACCCAAGCGAGACAAGAAATGAGGTTAGTGTGTTATACCATTGACGAGGCGCTTGCTTCAGACCATAAATAGCCTTGTGAAGAAGACAGACGTGATCTGGGTGAACAGCGTCTTCGAACCCTTTCGGTTGACTCATATATACTGTTTCGGATAGAGATCCGTGAAGAAAGGCATTCGCGACGTCCAATTGATGAACCGGCCAGTCATGGTGTAAGGCTATCGTGAGAAGAATACGAATGGTGGGCAATTTCGCCACCGGACTGAAGGTTTCTGTATAGTCTATTCCGTATTCTTGATGATTACCTTGGGCTACGAGTCGTGCTTTGTGTTTAGCTATCGATCCATCAGAGTTCATTTTGATCCGATAAGTCCATTTACATCCTAGGACCGAAGAGGTCGGCGGTGGAGGTACTAGACTCCAAGTTCCTTGAGTTTGTAACGCGAAAAATTCTTCGGCCATAGCACTTCTCCACTCCGCAGATTTACTGGCTTCAGCATATGTGGATGGAGCTGACGGACTGTCTCCTACACATGTTGAGTGAAATAGATTTAAGCGTTGTGTGGGTTTGAGCGACCCTGTTTTACCTCTAGTAACCATGGGATGGGTGGAACACAGAGGAGGCTGAGCACGCAAGTTGGATGACACTTGTGAATTTGATGTAGGAGTGCATGAGGATGCAGGTTGCATAGATTGAGTAGCGTTGTCCGCAGTTGGTGTCACCGAATTGGTCTGAGATTGTGGATGATTGAGAACCGAAACGGGAGTGAGAAATAATGGTGATAGAGATTCGGTTGTGGTAGACTGCGTAGTGGCCTGAGCTGCAAACGGAAAACATGATTCGTCAAAGGTTACATGGCGAGAGAAAACAATCTTATTGTTAGAAATATTAAGACATTTGTAACCCTTGTAGATGTCAGAGTAGCCTAGGCGATGTGGATTTCTTCACTAATGAGAAGGGAGTACAGCTGATCAAGCGTAAACGTTTGGGCCAATGTGCGAATGGTAGTTTTAAAGGATTGATAAGCCGGAGGAAGCCCATTTAGAATGTGATGAATAACATCTTCTGGTTCAATCTTGGAACCAGCGGCAGCAATTTGATCAACGATTGATTTAATTTCATTGAGATACTGCATCATTGTAGAGTTCTTGAGTGTAGTGTGATAAAGTTCATTCTTTAGTTGAATGACTTTGGACCTGTTCGTGGCTTGAAAACGGGATTGAAGCACGGTCCAGATGGCAGAGGTGGATTCAAGTTCAAGAACATAGGGTAAGATAGAAGCGGAAATCGTAGAGCATATAGCAGCGGCAAGATTCTGGTCATTGAGGCGCCATTGCGAATAAAGAGGGTTGGGGCGAGATTGTCCAGTAGAAGAAGAGGTGATGAGCTTGTCTGGTATCGGGTGATCTGGATCCAGATAGGAATCATAGTTATTGGCTCTACAAATCTTAAGAATTTGAGATTTCCATAAGGGGTAGTTGTCCGGAGATAAAGGGTTTTGCACAATGTTCTTGAGATTTGAAAGAATGAATTTTAGAGAAGAAGAAAGTACAGGATCTGCCGGAATGATGTCGTCGGAGGAAGCATTATGCGGAGAGGTGGTGGAGGAAGACATTTGGTCGCCGGAATCGTCAATCCTCGTCTGATACCATGTTGAAACTCAAGATCGAGTTCAAGGGAGACGACGGTAGACGCAAGCAAGAACACAGATATCGGAAGAATATTTTATTAATCTAATCTATTTGTTTGTACAGTGCATCTATTTATAGAAAGTAAATGCTAGCTACAGGTAATGTAATACATAAGGTCACACAATGTAATTCTTAATTAATATGTGGTTTCTCTAATACTCAAGAGCTGGTAAATTTATTATGAAAGAGAAAAAAATAATTTGATTCAAGTTGTTATTTAAAAAAATGATAAAAAAAAAACATGAGAAATTAGAATAGAATAAAATAATTTTTTTAAATAAAAAATTGATATTTAATTTTTAAATAAATTTAGTAACTTTGTACTTAAACTCTTTATGTCTTAACTATTAATATATTTTAAGTATATTTTATTTTAATATTTTTTAAATGAGCTATCTCGCAAGGTAAGAAGTTGAGTTGGAGCTGGCTTAAACTTGACTCAATAAAAACTTATTAAGTCGAGCTCATGTAAGCTTATGAGCCAACTTGACTCACTTAAACCACCTAGTATTGTGACATTAAGAATATTGAATATCTTGGAAGATCGAGTTTGGTCCAAAGATGGGAAATATATGACACAAGGTAGGCAGTGAGGCTAAGTTTTTTTTTTTTTTTTTTCTTTAGGTTAATAAATATTAATTTTTTATTGGATTTACATTTGGTGGTTGCTGTTTGAGAGAGGATATTATGGCTGAGAAGGTGGGTTGGATGGATTTTTTGGAATAAGGATTTGAAATAGTGGAGGTATGGAGAATGCTACATGTAGGTGAGAGATGAGATTCATGAGAAATATTATTATTTGCATGGGGTGAAATATCAGAATTTGTAGGGCTCAGACCTGATATATGATTCCTTGGAAAGAAATATTTTCCAGTGAAATATCAGTCCAATTCTTTGAAGAAAAGTGAGAAGAAGATTGATTTGGGCTAACTAATAAGCAATTATTAGAATGTACATTTATGATGGGGTCCACTGATGCTAAAGAATAGGAGTGCTTTCTTTGGTCATGATTTGATTTTTCATTTTGATGAAGAATTATTGAGTTTGCGGCCTCATTATTGAAGGAGTTATTTTGGCTTTTACAAAAGACATAAGGATTGTTTGGTTTGCTATAAGCAACTCGTAAAAGTGCACTGATGAACCCAAAAGCTTAAGTGATCGAGATGATGCATTTCATCAAACATCAAGTAAGCAACTTCGTTCAACCAATAGAAAGCTTCATCTGTACGTCCAGCTTCTAATCTCAACCTTCCTAATTGCCGACCTTAACCATCAAATTGGAGACTTCTCCCAAAACTGTTAAAATAATACTATATCAAATAATACTAAAAAGAATTTACCATCTATGAATAATTGAATATAACTACTTCAAAATAAGAATTCAAATTATTGAATTTATTTTAAGAGAATTATAATATAAATAAAACAAATATATTAAAATATGCTTTTGAAAATCATTGAATTTGTTTGTCCTCCGAACAGTTTCTTCGAAGCAGAAACAAAATTCTCTCGTAGATTCCTATTTTTCTAATATTTCTTTTATGGCTGGTAATTGCCGGTTCACGGGTTTGATCCAGCACGACCCAATTTGACACGGTCCAAACATAACCCGATACGTCTATTCCAACGTCAGTATCCACCGTACTCCGCACTCCATAAAGCAACGATGTTCCGGCGGAGTACCGTATGCTAACGAGATAACATTCTATATATCAACGCAGGAATGGACTCACCGGGACGATAAGTGAACCGCTGTGGAGGATACTTTCTGATGACTGCAGGTCAGAATAAGCTAACAAGCATCGCCGTCTCCGGCGAGTCTATGCCGGAGGAGGCTGTATATATTGCCGCCGGGAAGGCACAGATAGACGGTGGCAATCGGGAAGCGGCCGTGGTCGCGGCCGAGGTGGGCGAAGTAGTTATTTGTGATCAAAGGATCGCGAGCGGGTCAGATGCCATGGAGGTAGAGGTTAGTTAAATAAAGCTCTGAAGTTGGAAATCTCACTGCTGTTTTCTTTTTCTTTTTAATTTTTGCTAAACGGCAATCCAAATTAAAAGGCCTGGTTTGATTGGATGGTTGCTTATGTAAAATGGAGCTTTAAACACAGTAGATGGGGTGAGAAAAAGAAGTTTAGAAAACTCTTTTGTTTCAATAATGAGCTCTGTTACGTAGCTTGGAACGTCATTCGAAGAAAGAAATCTCAGATTTTTATTTCATTTTTCTTATGATCCGATGCGAGCTCCGTGCCGTGTTCGTCTCTGCAACCAACCTTCAGTAATTTAACTAATTTTTTCTCTCATTGTAGATTGATTCAACTTTATTGCCTATTATTATATCCTCTAAACACCCTTTTGGCAAGAATTAACAAAATATTTATTTTTTTATGTTACTTATTTAAAACAAAGCAAATCTTTGAAATTTTTTGGGAAAATTTTTAAACTATTTATTGTTAGAACTTTAATAATTTAATTAAATATTACAGCAGAAGGGCTTATCATTGCACAACAAGCAGGGAGGAACCGGCTTCTTGTTTTTAGGGAAGGAAAAATAAATTTATGAAAAGCATAATTTTATGTATGGAATAGAAAAATAATATTACTAAAACTTCAATAATTATAATTATTGAAGATAGACAAAATAGTTAAAATATTTAAATTTTTAAGGAAAAAATTTTTTTTTTTCGTTCTCTTCCTGATTCCACCCTGAGAACAAGCAACTTTTTTCTTCTCCTTTTTCGAAAATTAGTTCAAAATAAGAATTATTCATCCTTTTTTATTGCAAAAACAGCTCATCGCATCTGAGTCTACTTCCGTTCCAATGGGGGACTCCAATACGACTGAATGCAAAGTTCTCCCCCTACAATCTCCGCCTCCACGACCAAGCAACCATCGCAAGATTTCATTAATCCCTCTCATCTTTCTTATCTTCTACGAAGTCTCCGGTGGTCCTTTCGGCATTGAGGACACCGTCGGCGCCGCCGGCCCCCTCCTCGCCATCATCGGCTTCCTCATCTTCCCCTTAATCTGGAGCATCCCCGAGGCCCTCATCACCGCCGAGCTGAGCACCATGTTCCCCGAAAATGGCGGCTATGTGATGTGGATATCAACAGCTTTTACTCCTTTCTGGGGATTTCAACAGGGCTGCGTGAAATGGTTCAGTGGTGTGATAGACAATGCATTGTACCCAATTCTCTTCCTAGATTATCTCAAATCAAGCATTCCTGCTCTCGAAGGAGGATATCCGAGAATTCTTGCGGTCGTAGCACTTACTATTGCCCTCACTTATATGAACTACAGAGGCCTGAATGTAGTTGGCTGGGCTGCAGTTTGCTTGGGCATCTTCTCCCTATTGCCATTTGTTGTCATGGGCTTCATCTCAATCCCAAAGCTGAAACCTTCAAGATGGGTAGTTACAGATTTGCACAATATTAACTGGAATCTGTATCTAAACACGCTGTTTTGGAATTTGAATTATTGGGATTCGATTAGCACTTTGGCCGGAGAAGTGCATAATCCTGGTAAAACACTCCCAAAGGCACTATTTTTTGCAGTTATCTTAGTTATTACAGCCTACTTGTATCCATTACTGGCTGGCATTGGCGGGATTCCTCTTGATAGAAATCTATGGACTGATGGTTACTTCTCCGACATCGCGAGAATTCTCGGCGGAGTGTGGTTGAGGTGGTGGGTTCAGGCTGCTTCCGCGCTGTCGAACATGGGTATGTTTGTGGCCGAAATGAGCAGCGATTCGTATCAGATTATGGGAATGGCTGAGCGAGGAATGCTTCCGGAGGTTTTTGGCAAGAGATCCAAACATGGAACTCCAGTAATTGGCATATTGTTCTCAGCTTCTGGTGTTGTGTTGCTCTCCTGGTTGAGTTTTCAGGAGATTGTGGCTGCTGAGAATTTTCTTTATTGTATTGGAATGTTAATGGAATTTGCGGCCTTTGTAAGGCTGAGGATGAAATATCCGAGCGTTCGTCGTCCCTATCGCATTCCAATGGGGACTTTGGGCTGCGGTCTGATGCTGATTCCGCCGTCGGCTCTGGTAATTGCTGTGCTGGCTTTCTCTTCATTGAAGATTGTGCTGATCAGTTTGGGTGGTTTGGTTGTTGGCTTAGTTCTGCATCCCTTCTTGAAGTTTGTGAGGAAGAAGAGGTGGCTGCGGTTCTCTGTTATGCCAGGCTTGCCAGAATTTGAAGCAATATAATCAATCATGGAGGATGATTAAGACTTGAGTTTTTTTTTTTTAATGCAATTTTTTATAAAAGAAGATGAAAGATTATCTTTGTGTATGCATGCATCATATGATATCAATTTAGAGCTACTCCTGAGCAATCAAAACGAAGCCAACATACCCTTCTGTCATCTTATTAACTTTTTTTTTTGTCATCTATGCATCAACTAATAAGTCTAAGATTTCTTAATTTTGATTTCATTACTACCCCAAATGATAACAGAGTAGACTATGATCAAGAGGTTTAATAGGAGCCGCCGGATTAAGTGTTCTATATTTTAATTATATTTATAAATAGTGTCGCTTTAAGAAACTATGAATGGATCCTAACTTACTATTTGATTAAAAAGAGGGGATTTGATATGAAGTTTGAGCTTGGATTTTTGGGTTGAGATTCAAAAGGGTTTAAAGGCTTGAACATTTTTTTAGCTCCATCTAACTATCATCATCCGACCAATGCCATCAAACCATCATATTTAGACCTTAGACAATAGGTGCTATCTAATCATCACTATCGGTTCATTGAAGTTTAATCAATGTCATTGGGTCAACATCGTCAGATCATTGAAATTCAACCACAATCATATGAATTTCAATGCTAAACTATCTTCCAATCATCATAACCTAACAACACGATGACAACTATCATTTGACCACCATTTTTTAATTACCATGCTCTCACCATCATCATCCTATTACAATTCTTTCTCCATTGTTCAATTATCACACTCCAATTTTGAACAAAATATAAGATATGAAAAAGATAAAATAAATAAATAGTTAATTAAATATTAATCTAGCATTTAAAAAGTTTATTTGAGCTAATAATAATAGATATATATACATAAGATAAATTTATATAAAAGGTGTCTGTTTTAAACTTAAATTAGCTTAAGGAGGAGGTTAAAAAAAATTATTTAAAAATCGGTTCATTGAAGTTTAATCAATGTCATTGGGTCAACATCATCATATCATTAACATTCAACCACAATCTTACAAATTCCAATACTAAATTATTCTATAACCATCATAACCTAACTACAACACCACCATGACCACTATCATTTAACCACAATTCTTTGATTATCATGCTCTTACCATCATCAGCCTATTACAATTCTTTCTCCATTGTTCAATTACGGCTCTACAATTTTGAATAAAATATAAGATATGAAAAATAAATAAATAAATTGGTAATTAAATATTAAACTAGCATTTAAAAAGCTTATTTGAGCTAATAAAAATAGATATATACATGAGGCTATTTTATAAAAAAAGAGCATGTTTTAAACATAAATAAACTTAAGGAGCAGGTTAACGAAAAATTTTAAAAAGGAGCAAATGCGAAACTTAATTATTTGATTTCAAAAGAAACAAAAACTTCATTATCTAGTTTCAATAGAAACCGAAGCTTCATTATATGGTTTCTATTTCATTGGAAATCTGATTTTACTTATTCGATTTCTAATTATTAATTTTATTTTTAATGTCAGTTATTTTTTTGATGTTATTTTCTATATATATATACCCTTTTCTGAGCTTTAAATGAGTACTTTGTAGAGACAGGCTTCTTCCATAGGTCTTTTATTTGGGGTTTTGTTATATTCATCTGATTTCTTTTTTATAGGGTTTTACTGGCACCAACCATGCCATGGACTCGAATTATGCATGCTTACGATTTGTTTATCTTAGGTGCCAATTGGTCGTTTGAAATTAGAAACCGTGTTCTGAAAAATGATTAATTTACTAGATCTTTTTCGTTTGGTTAGAATCAATATTATTTTTTCAACTCTACAAACATCTTCAAAATCCCACATATTTGTTGATTTCAATTTCATACATAAGATGAGCGAAAATTGAATCATTGCTTTCTTTATCTGGTTTTTCTTTGACTTTAAGTTCCTGCAATTGCTTGAATGCCTTTATAAGGATCAATGAGCAAATGCAATTTCAGAAAAAATTGAAGATCTTAAGGCCGATTCCATATAAAAGTAGGAAGGACTGTGCAACTAGAGTTATTTAATTGTAGGGATTTTTACATGCATAACACCTAAAACTATTGAAAATACATATTCAACACCCAAAGTTATGTATTACCTAAAATCTAACTTTTCATCTATTCTAACACCCCGTTAAAACCCTCATCAAAAATCTCGTTTTTTTTTCTGCAAGGTTTGTGAGCGGAGCCTTTGCTTCTTCTCTGCTCTCTCGGCTACAACAATATCTCATATGCAAGGTAAGATAGCAAAAATCTCCATTGCCCCTTCTCCGATTCTTCCAAAGTTTACGATTGTTGGAACGTCAAAATGAAACCAGAGTCAGGAAATAGTGGAAGAAGAACAAAACTCCGATTCACGAAGCTTCCACCTCGTTCTTCCAAAATTCACCTTCAATTATGGGAGAAAGTAGGGATGGTGTGAACTATCTGCTTGCCCAGACAATTCAACTTCAAAAATCCCAAAGGGCAGCGGTAGAATGCCCAACCCTATTTTTTTTCTCCTTTATCTGGGAGAGACTCCTCACCAATGGCTTCAACTATGGGGTTTATCTCAAATTCACTTGCACCATATTCAAAATTTATTTCTCACATATGTGACCCTTCTTTTCAAGCTTCCTAAGTCTCCCAAGCCTCATGACAATTAGACTTGCTATCTCTAGTTCAGACTTAGTTCTGGGCCATCTGCCTTGTCTGATCTTCTTGATGCCCAAGCTCTAAACGACAATGGTCATGTTGCCGAGCAAGTTGATGCATGTGGTCAGAAATGAAGAATGTCTGGGGAGAGTGCTCACCACATGCAACATCTCACTGGAGGCCAGCCGTCTGCTCTCCCCTTTTTGCCGGCAATGGGGTTCCTCACGCGAACGAACGGAAGACGACGGGAGGATAGGGATTTCTGATGGAGCTTAAACAGAGTGGTAGAAAAGAAGAAAATAATTATTTTAGGTGGAATATTAGTAAATACAGAACTTTGGGTGTTGAATATGTATTTTTAATAGTTTAAAGTGTTATGTATGTAAAAATCCCTTAATTGTATTATAGAAAATGGGAAATTATCATTCTTCAAGGAGATCGTTATTAATAATGTAGTGGTAAACTTGAAGAATGCATGATGTGAAATAGACGAACCATTACCGAAGCTATGAGATTGAGTTGATTTGATGGCATTAGGGTGAAGGAGTGATGTAAGGGACAGGTACCTAATATGTCGTCACTTGCCTTATTTGTATTTATTTGGACATGTTAGCATCTATCACTATAAGTGCAATGAATATGTAATCAAGTGTTGCATTACTAAAGTATTTTTTTATAAAAAGAATTTTCTTTTATGAAACATTCATGATTGATTTATTTTGATTGCATTTTGATTACATTCCTTTTATTATTTCCGTTATTGTAAAAATTTCTTCATAAATAGAGAATACTTGTAAGACAATTACAATGATAGGAATATGCTTATGGTGGTGGATAGTTTTTTCGTGAGATTAATGGCCTTAGAAGACTATGGATCTTTAGTTTAATATTTAAGACAGTGTTTTGGTGTTTTGTGAAGAACCCTTTGTAACTAATATAATACATTTGCACATGTCAAAAAGAGTTAAAGAATAAGTAGTCGTATTTGTGTTATGTAAGCTATGTTTGACTTGGTTGTCTAGTCATGTTATTGATTTCCCTACTTAACATGTCTATTTTAAGTTATTTGCTTTGTTTTATTTTGAAATTAGTTTTTCATTCATCATCTTCCATCATTCTCATTTGATGATAGCTACTTCTCAAATTAATCTTAGAAAACAACATAGCAATATTCATTATATCTAACGTATTATTCAAACAAGAATCAAGAAATCTATATTTGATGCGCTTATGCAGCAGTCCATCTTTTTTCATCTGAAAGTTGGGACAACACTAAATTTTAAGCAAATCATCAACTTTTCTCTTAAACCCAATATGTTTAGATAAATCCACCCTATTATAATAGGGTAAATTAGACAATGATAATTACAAAACAAATTCAATGCATTTTGTATTAAGTTGCCATAGTTTAGTTTATTAGGAAGCTCATTAGGATAAGTATCTTAAAAATTAATCCATATGTGTAACATCAAACAAAATCATATTTAGGCACGAAATCATTCAATTTAATAGCTGCTATGCTACAAATGATACCTTTTTCTACATGTTTAGGCATGATATCATTCAATTTAATTACCCTACAATTATTAGCATAATGACCATTGTGATGAAACTTTAAACATGTTTTTTAGAAATATTAGACCTAAATCCATATGTATATGATTTCCTTATGATGTTCTAATTAAGTTTAATATTATTACCCTTATAGATGTAGTAGATACAATGGATTGGACTTAATTGCTTTGATGAATGATGCGCTCTCAGAATATACAATAATTGTTTTAAGACGACGACAACACCAACAAGCCTTTATCCCACTATGATTGGTCGGCTATATGAATTCTTTTTTCTCTATTGTGTCCTGTTAAGAGTCAAATTATCATCTAAAACTAATAAAAAAAGGTCATTTCTAATATTTTTTAACCAAGTTTTTTTAGGTCTACATCTACCTCTCTTAAGATAAGTCAAATCTAATACATCTACTTTCCTAACAGAATCATCGGCAGGCCGCCGTTTTATGTGACCAAACAATCTAAGTGACTCTTTCTAATCATATCTTCCACTGGAGCAACTCCAACCTTTTCATGTATATGCTTATTTCATATCCTGTCTCTAAGGGGGTGTTTGGTATAGGACTGGATTCAATTTTAGTAGGATTTACTAAATCCTGTAAATCCGGATTTAGTAAATCCTGGGCTCTTAAATCCTGAATTGTGTTTGGTATGACAATTTTTAAATCCCGTTAAATCCAGAAAAATGTTTGGCAAGAGATAACAGGATTTAAAACGGTTGGAGATTTAAAATTGAATTAACTAATTATTTTGAAATAATTAATTTTTTAAATAATATTCCTACTAATTATTTAATTAATATATGAATTAATATTTTATTTGTTTTAATTATAAATTTTATTATTAATTATCTCATTAATCACTTAAGAATTCTATTGCTCATTAATTATTTAACTATTATGTATATTATTAATGATATGTTTAATAATATATAAGATAATTATACTAGGGAGCTCTGATGTAGACAAAGGGGGGGGGGGTCAACTCATGTAAAAAATAATTAGATTTTTGGCTTCCCTTGAGTCTATTAGCTCAATCAAAATCGAGCTGAAATTTTAGCTCATTTATGAGCTGGTCTTTAGTTCACTTATTGAACTAAGGGTTAGCTCATTATTAGTTATGATTTTAGCTCATAGTTATCTTTTTATTAAATGTATTTTTATGCTTTTTATGTTTTTAATTATTGTTGTCTCCGGCCTTTGGAATTCCAAGAAATGTCTTTTCCCATGCGGTGCGGTGGCTCCTTGGCTTCCTCCCTTGGGCTGCCATTTTACGTGCCTTGCCTCTTGGATCTCCGGCTGGCTGCTAGTTTTCCGCGTCTGGGCTCTTTCCCGTGGCTGTGGCTCCTCGGTTCCGTGCGGCCTCCTTGTCTCCCGCGGTGGCTGCTTCGGTTTCTTGGCTTGGGTTGTTTTTCCGTGCAAAGCATTTAGGATTAATGCTAAGTCTTTTAGAATTCCTATGAGAATTAATTGTTAGTGTCTCTTTGTATTCCCCTTTCATACCTATATATATGAGGGGTTATGTAATGTTTTGAGTGAATGTTATGAAATGTTATTTTTGGATAAGCTATAACCTGCGGGTTTGCTTCGGAAATCCTGTGGGCTCTTTCCACCCTTTTTTCTCATCCCCTCCGGAAATCCTGCGGGCTCTTTCCAACCTTTCTTCTCGGGCTTCTAACCTCTTTCAACTCTCCGCAAGTGCCACTCCACCTGTATCCCTCTTCTCTAAGTGAAGCAACTTTAGGGTGTCTTTTTATTTTATTTGGAGTCGTTTGTAAGAGTTTAAGTTATTAAAATCAACGTTTGTAGTTTTAATTTCCGCTGCTTAGTCTTATTTAAGTTATCTCTTCTTTTTGAGGTATTTTGTGTCTTCTTTTATATAGGAAGTCAGTTTAGAGTTTTTCTTTATGTGATCGAAAAATATAGGGTCCCCTATATTTTTTGGTTACATCAAGCTCCCTCTCGCTCGTTGTGAAGGTAACTTTCTCCCTTTTGCGCGCTTCTTCGGCCAAATCCCTTAAATCCGTGTAGTAGCGGGATTTGGATTTACAAGGATTTACAGCGTAAATCCGGTAAATCCTGGATTACAACGCTATTTTTTGTGTTTGGCTGGATTTACCATAAATCCTACTTCAAACGGGAAATAAATCCGATACCAAACACCCCCTAAGAGTAAAGCACTCATCCACCTGAGCGTCCTTATCTCTGCAATACTTATGCTTCTCTTTTAATGGCCAACATTCTGCGCCATAAAGCTTTGCAGTTCTCATCACAATCTTATATAGTTTTCCCTTAAATTTGAATGGTTCTTTTCTATCACACAACATGCCCGATGCATTCTTTCACTTTAACCATCCAACTTGAATTCTACTAATAGTATCGTCATTTATTTCATCATCACTCTGGACAATTGACCCGAGATATCTAAAATCTATATTCTTATTAATAATCTGATCGACTATATCACAATTCTCCCATTTGATCTATTACTATTAAAATTACACTCCATGTATTTGGTTTTAGATATACACGAACGAAAAAATTTAGACTCTAAGGTTGACCTCCATAATTCAAGTTTACATTCAACTCCATCTCTAGTCTTTATCAACAAGAAGAATATCATCAACAAAAAGCATACAGTAGGGTACAAGCTCTTGCAAATGTGTAGTGAGAACTTTCATGACTAAAGCAAAAAGATAAGGCTTAAGGCTGATCTTTGATGTAATCCAACTGAAATAGGAAAATACTTGGTCAAACCACCTTTACCTCACACCAATTACCCCAACTGAAATAGGAGAATACTTGGAAGAAAGCATATAAAAGGAGGAGTTTATTGAAGTGAGAAAGATCTAGGACGATATATGCTACATCACTTCGGATAAACTTTTAGATAGAAACTTTCATAAAAAAAAAAGGCTATTGAAGTCCATTTTAACTCACTCCTTCGATACCTTGTTTTGCAAATATTTATATCCTCTTTGTTCCACAGATATTCTCCTGATCAAGGAAAAAATGTGGTGTCTTTTGTATTATAACAAATTGATATCATTAAAAAAAAAACAATTCTATTCATGTTTCCTTGATTTGAACCGTCTGAATGACATTGGAGGCTTCATCTTGCTGCTTGGTCTGGACATGCTGAGATAGTAAGCTATCTGTGCAATAATAAAGCTGATGTAGGAGCCTCCGCCATGGATGATACTGGTGCCATCCATTTTGCTTCTCAGAAGGGTCATATTGAAGTAGTGCGAATCCTGCTTTCTTTTGGAGTATCTATTAAATCTACCAATAGAAAAGGCATGACTCCTCTCCATTTTGCAATCCAAGGTTCACATATTGAATTGGTCAAGTATCTAATCAGGAAAGGCGCTAATCTCAGCTCAAAAAATAAAACTGGTGAGACTCCTCTCGATCTTATAAAATCCGAGGAAATGCGATCGTTAATCAATGAATTGGAGCAGTCTTTGAAGAACAAAGATCAAACGACAAGAAGAGGGACTGATGAGTTTCCATTAAAGTCATCGAATGCAGAAGATGTCAAAGATGTTCATGCTCATAGTTCTTGTGATCAGGTTGATACTGATTTAGATACGGATGAAAAAAGGGAGAAGAGGAAAGGCGATGACGACGATATCGCTCAGGATAGCCTTCCCGTTCCAGACGCGAAGAAGAGCAAGGTTTCTCTTGCGCACCTTTTAGCTGAAGATGATATAGAAGAAGAGCTTTGAGAGAAGATAACTTTACACGAGAATGAAAGTTATTGCTGGTATCTTTTTATCCCTCTACCTTTTCTATTTTTAGAGTTTTGAACAAACTATCACAACTATATTGAATTTTGAAAAGATAAAACGCTTCGTTTTGGTTATTTAATTACACTACTGTTAGGAATTGTTTCATTTTATCATGTTGTTTGAGCAGATGTTTTCTTATAAGATCGTGTTTTGTTTTATTGTGGTTTTCTGGATTTTGTTCCAACTTGTTATGAAATTTTGATCCTTGCACCTTTTGTCTGATGGTGTCCGCAGATTTTTATGGCGAGACCTCTAGTTACGGTGCATAAAGAAAAAGTTGTTTTACAGCAGCGGCCAGACAACCGTAGATGAATCCACAGACGTATGGTTATTTTTGTATGTTTATGTCTACTGATTTCATCTCAAATTTTGACTGACGGATTTTGCAAGAGAGAACAGTCTTGCTTACTCGCTTGAGTGTATTGAACTTGAGATGAATAAGAATGTATTGCGTTGATTCGTTGTTCTTCTTAATCCCCCACTTTTGTATTCCTTATTTGGTATAGTTATGTCGGTAGATATGAAACTCAACTCCTATAAGTAGTACTCATGCCCGAAGAAGTTTCCTTTTTTATTCTTCAGCTGCAAAGTGGAGGCCTCCACTGCTGTGTGTTCTTGCTGAACACCTGAGATGAGATCTTCACTGTCGCCATTGAATGAGCCACCTAACGGCCACAGCTGCAATGTGCCTTCGCTTTCTGTAGTAGAGAGAGACAGCCCATGTACCTTGCTGGATCTCTTACCATTTGGCCAAGAGTTTTTGCCATTTAAATGAATACCTTATTCTATATTTAATAAAAATAACGTTTTGTATTCATTTTATTTTTTATATTTGACCAGTGCCCCGCTACATGCGCCATTTCTAACTTGAAAATGCACATGCTCAGTAAGTGCATGTTATTGTTATCTCGAAAAATATAGAGCTTGTTTGTAATAAGACAACATATGCTATGCTCTTTCAGCTCTATTTTTACCATCATCAAACGAAAGGTTATTATGAACGATATA